TGTTGTTATGGAATTACAGTGTGTGATAAGTTTTCTTATTTGAGTAGTCACTGGGAAACCATTTAGTATTTTGAATTGTTAGTGTGATTCATCTTACACTTTTATAAAGTTAATCGAGGAGTGGGTATAAAAATAGGTTGGAGAATAGATAAATCAGAGGCTGGTAATCATTTGCCTGTTGCAAAATTGCAGGAGGTGATTGAACTAGAATGGCCACAGAAAACTAGAACTGGTATTTTGAGAGGTACGTCACTAAGTCTGGATTTTGGCATCTGAGTAGATGTGTAGAAATCTAAGAGTGTCCTAAATGAACTTAACCGCTGGTGTGCTTTCCATGTTGTGTGGACAGTGTGTGTGTGTGTGTCTGTGTCTATGTATGTATGTATGTACTGTATGTAGGTGCCAGGTAATTGATCTGCTGACCAATCTCTGCCTTTACTCTGTGGCCTGGGCCTTTGCTGTAGTGCTGGAATTTCCTTACTCCTCTCTTCTGTAACCTTGGGTAGATTGCTACTTCCTCTCAGATTGTTTCCTTTACTCTAGCAGGAAGAAGATGGCAGCATCAGTGGTTGAGTATAAACTCTGGAGTTGGAGTACTAGGGTGAAACCTAGTTTCATTACTTATAAGAGGTGTGACCTTACCTCATCTATAAAATGGTGTTACCAGTAATACCCACTTCATGAATACTAAATTATACTTATGAAAGTACTTAGAACAGTGCAAAGAACATGGTAACAGTTCAATAACCAATAGCAGTGATGGTATTAGAAGAGGTTTTGGGCTCAGATGCTGGGGAAAATAGTGAATATAATTAATAGAAATAACAGAGGTTGGTCCATGCAAGAATAGGAAAGCTTCAGTTTTTGGATATGTTGTGTTTTAAGTGCTTCTGAAATTTCTGGGTAGAAATGTCCAGCCACGTTTTAGAAATTCTGGACTGGGAGTTGGAGATAAAGTCGTATTGAGAGACACAGGTTTTGGAGTTAATGTGTAAGATTGATAATTAAACTACTACAACAGAGAGGACTGACAAAGAGAGGCTCACTCAGATCAGATTTCTGAGGTATGCTTACATTTAGGGAAAGAAGAGAAGAGATAGCCAGTAAGGGTAGGAGAAAACCTTCAAGAGTGTGTTCTAAGATAGAGGCAGGGAATTTTCAAAATGGCAGCAAAAAATGATTCAGGATGAGATAAGAAAATAGTAGGAAATGACTGTTAGTGACCATTAAGAACTAATGACCATGGGGCGCCTGGGTGGCTCAGTCGTTAAGCATCTGCCTTTGGCTCAGGTCATGATCCCAGGGTCCTGGGATCAGGCCCCGCATCGGGCTCCCTGCTCCACAGGAAGTCTGCTTCTCCCTCTCTCACTCCCCCCTGCTTTGTGTTCCCTCTCTCGCTGTGTCTCTCTCTGTCAAATGAATAAATAAAATCTTTAAAAAAAAAACCAAAAAACTAATGACCATTAAGAAATCAGCCTCATAATAACATTCCTATGAGCTAAGGAGCAGAAGCTTACCTTTCAGAGTTTGTTTATATAGAGAAGGAGGGTGACAATTTGAGAGAGATACAAAATTTGGCGAGAGTGTGCATTTTTGGTCCTTGAATTGTTTTGGATAAAGGACAAGGGTTACCTGAGCTGATTATTAGGAGGAGACAGGTAAAACAAAGACAAATGCCAGAGAGGGGATAATTAATAGAGCACTTGCCAAAATGGAACCTAGGCGAACATGCAGAGGCACTTTTATAAAATATCAAGAGTGAAAAAATGTTAAGATGGGAGAAGGGAATTTTGAGAGTGTCCACACTGGATGACCTCAGGGTTCCCAGTAAAGTAGGAGCTACATTCATTGAGGGTGATGTCTGTCTGAGACAGGAGAGAAAGACAGGTGGGTTGAACAGAGTGCAGAAGTCATCGCTCAGTTTAAGGTTTGGAATGAAAGAGATTGGGAGTCGTGGGCAAGACTGAGTAAAGGCAGTAGACCTTGGGAGGAGCACCACACATCTTCCCGGGCCCCATCCTGGTCTGTGAACATAGGGAATCGAAGAAGCAATGGTGGCCTTTTGAAATGATGCCAGGAATGTGGCATGAAGTCAGCCTGAAGAAGGCCAAGTGTAGCTAAGATCAGAATGTTTTAAAAGTTACCTCTGGAAAAAAGGTTAAGAATATAAGTAATTTTCTTCGCATTTAGAGTGGAAAAGAAGAGTCATTAATGGTAGGGGGTGGATACTTTGGGGGTACAGTTATAGACCAGTTTAACTTAAATGTTCTTGGTTAATTTAAATGAAAAATGGAAATTATGAAAATGTAGTTATTTTTTAATCTCCAAGAGCTTTGAAGTTCAGCCCTCTTTTCATATTTATAAAATAAATTTTTGAAGATCATTAAAATGTTCATTTCTTAGGTATTAAAAGAGATTTTTAGTCTTTATAGTCAAAATGCTATAGTCAAATGCAACATATATATATAGTCAAAATGCTATAGTCAACATGCACATAAACCATTGTTTTCAGTATATGCATTCAGGAAATAAAATATTTGAAGTGTTATAAATTGCATTGTCTATTTAGTATGGGAATTGTATTCATTTTATTTCAAAATCTAGATTACAGTATGATTCATTGTACCGTTGATTAAGTTTGAGTAAGTCTGCATCGTGGTCATGAGAGATGAGACAAGAGAAAAGGACACACTAATGCCGGTGGTCCATACATATTTGAGACTTCCAACTCTGTTATTTCTGCGAATCTGAATGCATTGTATTTGAGGACGCTGCTAGGTAGGAATTGCAAAGTTAAGCTACAGAAGCCGAATTATGCATAATTTGATAGTAAAGGAATTAATTAAATTTAAATTGTGCTTTTCAGTCTTTTTCTTTGAATTGTGTCAGTAATTTTGTTCAGCTTATATTTACACACAAATTATTCGTCCATTATTGACATCTAGTAGATTCATACATTCTTTCACTATACATTTGCCTCACCTTTTTGGTAAGGATTAACTCAGTATATAAAAAACTGCATTATAGATGTGCTACCAATCACTTGCTACTTGAGAAAAATTAAAGCTTTGAAAACCTTTTAATTATTCATACAAACTTACACCAAGAAGATAAAGAGGAAAAAAATCATCTGTCATTCCACTAAACCCCAACAAATAACTTGGCAGCTTTGTCTTCTTATACACTCCCATTGGTTTAATTTTTTGAATTTTTAATTAATTTTATTTAATTTTTAGACTAAATCATAAATTCACATGGTTCAAAAAAGGTTCCTTCCTGCCCAGCCATCGTCCATCTGCTATTCTCCTCCCACCTGCTTTGCAATTGTGTTTTTTATCTTGATAAATATGAAAAGTTGTTTACTGAAGTAGCTACAGTACACCATTTTAAATTTAAACACTTTTTATTAATAATGATTTTTAACATTAGTTTTTTGTAGGAGCTTTTCACAGTAATACTATTTTACCACCGTTTCTTTAAGAAAATACTGTACACAGAACCAAAATTCCAGTTCTCCCAAAATTATACTTCAAATGTGGGTAGGATTTCTAGAACTGCTAATTAGGATTTGTGTAACATTTTGTAGGTTTAGCATGCGTTTGTGTAACTGCATTTAGTGTTGACTCCTCATGAGAATCCTGTGAAGAAGACAGGGTAGGTATTAATTGTCTTCATTTTCCTGAGGAAACAAATTAGAGTTGGTGTTTTTGACTGTCAACTTTCAAATCCAAGTATTCTGATTGCATGGTCTTTGCACTATAGCCAGAATCTTAAATCATTTGTCCTTATTTGAAATGGCTTTTATCCATTTTTTGACATTTTATGTATTTTTTTAATTGTAATGAAATCATGCTAAGCTTTAAAAAAAAAAAACCCCAAAAAACAAACCTGAGAATACTGGAGTGAATACCTGTTTACCTGCCATTCTGTGTATCTGTCTTTAAACTCACATTAACATACTTTATACTTTCCATTAGAGGGAAGAAAAGCATTTGTGTCCAGAGTGTTTAACACATGGGGAGATTGAGATGCCAATAATAATTTTAAAATATTGCAAATTCTTTTTTCTCTTGAATATACTTTTAAGCTTTCTGTAAGTCACTTTTAACTGTCAGACGTCTTCATGTTACTACTCGCCTTCTATTTCTAAGTGAAATGCTTGAATTTTCCTGAAGTTACACACATCCTAGGAAAGGAGACCTCAGACCTCATTTATTCAGCAGCATTAATGAATGCATGGCTGTGCACACTAGATTTTTTTCTTTAGATAAGGGTTTTTTCTAATAGCACATGAATTTTATATATATTTTTAGCATTTGTAATACTGAAATTTCCTCAAACGTTATGTATATCCCTGGTTTCTTCCGCAAAGAGATGTATGTAGCTTGGGGACATCTCTTAAGTACTCTGTTATAGAATTCTTGCATACATTTATGCCAGCCACATATTCCTGTTTTTCTGGGGGGTCCAAGGCCATCATTTTTTGCTGGTGCTATTTCTGTGTCTTAAAGGCACTATGCCTTTATGTGTTCTGCTGATTCTGAGAGACTTTTGCCTAAAAAACAAGTAACCAAGGTTTTGAGGAATTGTGTGTTTGATAAAAGTCCATAAATTTTTGCAGGAAGCCCTGTGTATAAAGAGCACGGCTGTAGTGCAGATGCCTTTGACCGTTATTTTGGATATGCAGAGGCCTTTGCTTACTGGGTACGTGGGTTGGAGCATTGTGGTGACCATTGAATAAATGAGGGTATTATGATAATTATATTTTAAGGGAGAAAAGTTATTCTGATATTTTCCTTTGTACTGATGTTGCTCTGATTTACTCTGTTGTCGAGCTGGATTTAAATATTAATCATTTAAGGTCAAATTTCTAATGTATATATGTTCTTCAGTGGGTACAACCCAGTTACCGTAACAATTTAGTAAAATAACTATAATGGAATTTTTCTTTTGAATTTGGCTTTTCTTTCTTTCTTTTTTTTTTTTTTTCTGTCCACCAGGGAGTAACTATTCCCAGTCAGAGGCGCTATGTGTATTATTATAGCTACCTGTTAAAGAATCATCTGGATTATAGACCAGTGGCACTGTTGTTTCACAAGATGATGTTTGAAACTATTCCAATGTTCAGTGGCGGAACTTGCAGTAAGTGCTCTAAATTCTCATCCTTCCATGTATTGGAACACTTTTCTGAACATAACTAGACGTTTACAGAAAAATCTAGAAAGAAATTTACCACACTTAAATTTATGCAGGGGTATATATTTCTGAAGTATCCAGACTAAATAAGTAGCTCAGTTGTTCAGCACATTGGGCTAAGGAAGTCAAGAGCAATGGGTTTTAATGTCTTAGAAGCCAAATTATATTTATGAAAGAAACATTCTTTGCTGCATCTACCAAATGCAGCCTGAATTGTGACCAGATGACTAAAAAACCCATCCCAGTAGAGATCCAGCATAGAGTAGCAGTGGGATTCATTAGTTTCCTGGTGTGGGGGCAGGGACCAGTTCCTATCTTAGGAAGACTAGATAGTGGTAGTAATGGTGACAGGGACAGTAGAAAGGAAGGGAAAAAATTATAAGACATGGTGACCAGCTGAAATACGTTGAGTGAATAGGGTTGAGTCAAAGTGTGTGGAGTATTAGAGACAACCTGGATTTAGATCCAAGTTCCAGTCCTAGCTCTCTCATTACTGGACTATGTAACCCCAGGCACACCATCTACCGGTCTTTATGTTTGCTTGTCAAAATGAAGATATTTTGAAATCTGAAACTTTCTAGATACGTACTAAATAGAGATCATGTCAGTGATGTCTGCCTCTCATTGATTTCTCTCTTACCCAAACTTCTGTGAGCCTCCCTCCGTCATCCTGATCCTGTTCTGCTTCTCTGCCGTTCTTGGGTGGAGTTCTTAGCTAGGCTGATAGGAGCCTTAATACTTAATACTCAGACCCAAAGCAGTTAGTCAAGAGAGAACGCATGGAAGGAAGTATTATCCAGCCCTGTAAAAGACCAAACTGTTGCTGCTTTTTTCTGTAACAGAATTTTATATTAGTTTCTGCCTTGGTAGTGATCAGTCATGTTTTCACGTTTAAGAAATATGTTTCATTTATTCAGAGTGCAATTTCATAGTTTGTAGATAAGAGACCACTACAGTATTTCTTTGAATACCTCTAATAATATTTCAGTGAGATTTTGTAATTTGTTAGTGATTTTAGTTTTTAGTTTTAAGTTTTGCTTCTTGAAAATATTTATGTAATTAAAAAATTTCTCTCCCTAAATTAACCTATACTGAGGAAATTAATTTCTTGGTGGTGTTTGTCTTTTTCAGTTAGGTGTCCTCATCATGTCTTCATCATATCTTTCCTGTATTCTTAGGGCTGGACACCTTTATCACAGGCCACAAATTTATGAATAGAGCGTGTTATAGGCTTCTCAGAGACCTCATTGATGCTGGCGTCATCTCAGTGCGATTTTTAAAGGTGCTGGTAAAAGGCCCAGCACGGGGAGTGTGGTCACAGGCACTGCAGTAGTGCTCCATGGGGACAGGTGGTGGCTCCGCTGGTGGGGAGCTCAGCACCGTGTACACACTTTTGGGAAGAAACTAATGTCACATTGTGTGTCAACTCTACGTCAAAAAAATAATAAGGTTCTTGATAACTTCTAAATGCAAGGCACTGGACTGTCAGAGGTGATTGACATAGGAACTTAACACATTCATAGAGGAGAAGGAAAAAGGAAGAAAACATTCCTGCTCTTCCTGTAGGATAAATATCAGGTGTAAGGGCCAAAAGAAAGGTATAACATATTAGGGAGATAAGGGAAAGAGAACATTCAGTTCAGTAATCTTCCTGTCTAGTTTAATTTTTTTCACATTGACTTCTCTAGCAAAAATCTCCTATCAGTTCTGCTCTGCCTGCCTGGAGTTAAACATTGTGGTGGATTTTTGTTCTGTTTTTGTCTCTTTTCAGTATTATATTTAAACTTTAAAAATTACTGACTACTGAAAACTTTTTAATCTTTACTAAGGAATTTTCTAGTTCTCCATTTATGCCCTGTGATTTCATACTGTGTCATGAAGCTGTATTATAAGTAATACATAATTGAATGGGAGATTATATGTATAAATTATAAATGGTGTCTTCAGAAAAATAAAAGTTTTGAGGGTTGTCAGATAGTTGCATGGAGCAAGTCCAGCTCTTCTTTGAACAGTGGAGAAAGCATTCTGTTTAGATTGGCATTAAAACTGAAGGAAGTGCTGGAGGCCTGACTTGAAGTACAGCAAGCAGTAGGACATGAGCTGGACCCAGGGAACAGAGTAGGGTGGGATGTGTGGCCGACTGTCAGAGGACCCTGAATGGGGATGGCAGACTAGATTTGATAGATGCTGTGGCATCATTGACAGTTTGAGAGGCTTAGGCTCTGTTTTAAGTCTGGCTGTGTAGGAAGTGGTGATGGGGAACCAGGGGTGGAAAGGAATCCAGTTAACGGGATTTGCTGTAAGCCAGATGTGCTTTGCTAAGGCAATCAAATGGGATTTGATTGCTCTTTCCTTTGCCGTTTCTGTCTAAATATTTTGTCAATTTTGATTCTGGACACATCAATAATTCACAGAAAAGGGAAGAAGGAAAAATGAATCTCACTGAGACTTGGAGACATGATTGTTTTTGGTTTTAAACATGTTTCGGTCAGGTGAAGGTGAGCTGTTCACATGAAGATCCTTAGTGGGTTCTTGAAAGTGTGGGTTTGAATCTTAGGTGAGAGTTAGATCTGGTATTTGGGGAAGCACCAGGCAATAGACATAGTAGTTAACTAGCCCTCTGTGTAAATATGGTATTGGGGCTAGAGGAGGGGAAGGCTCAGGGAAACAGAGTGGGAGGACTGAGACACGGCGAGTTGTGCGTTTGGGTTCAGGAGGAAGGTTGGGGCCAATGAGGAAAACGAAGTCGCTTCTGCAAAGTTGTCAGAGGTCAGCAGCTGTTTTCTTATTGGATTATTGTCCTAATATCCCTAAGTAAAGGAAAAGTTACTATACTCTTTACATCGAAAAGGGTTAAAACGTTAGTAAAGGATGATCACTGTGATTTTTCTCTCAATACTCAATACAGTATATCAATATGCCTATGTCAAAACAATTTAATCCTGACTTTTGTTGACCAGGTATTGACTTGTCATTTCTTTAGAACACAGTCAGTCGTATCAAAGAGAAAATACCTGACCTGTGTCTTAGAAGTCAGCAGAACTGTACTGATGTTGGACTTCTGATAAGTTAGGTCTTAGAGATCTAAGATGGGAAATTCATATTGTAAAGGAAATGATTTTCTTTAGTGATTTGAGGAAATCTTTTCCACTTATTTTTATTAAAACTTTTTTTTTTTTTTTTAAAGATTTTATTTATTTATTTGAGACAGAGAGAATGAGAGAGAGAGAGCACATGAGAGGGGGAGGGTCAGAGGGAGAAGCAGACTCCCTGCCGAGCAGGGAGCCCGATGCGGGACTCGATCCAGGGACTCCAGGATCATGACCTGAGCCGAAGGCAGTCGCTTAACCGACTGAGCCACCCAGGCGCCCTTATTAAAACTTTTTAACTTAGTTAAAGTTAAATTCTAAGTAGCATGATTTGTAATTAGTTTATGAATTAATTATATGGTTCTCGAATTCCTGAAGATGCACATTTTAGATGTAGTTTAATTGAAATCTGGCTTATACCGTTAATATGCCTTTTAAAGTTCTAAAATGAGGATTATCAGATTCTGAACTAGTGGAGTCTTAATAAGATTACAAGGCATATTCATCCTGGCTGATTTTTATCACAGCTTTGAAATCATACCTTTTTGTTTGCTTTTTCAAGCTAGAGTTTCTAGTGAAATTTTCAGAATCACATAGTCTTGTAAAATGGCTTGCTGTACTTTGAACCATTAGTCAAGGATGCGGAAATTATTGACAGATTGTTAGTGTAATGTTTCCCCTTTTTGGAGTGCCCTTTTTCTTGTGATAAATACCTCACAGATTCATATTAGAAAAACCCAACAGGCTGTTATCAAACCTACTGTTTATTATGGGAGTGCTGATGCTGCTTTAGATACTGCACAGACGAGCTGGTATGTGTTTATTAAACTGGAAAGTGCATCTAGCTTCGATAAGCCTTTTGCCTTTTTCTCACTTGCTGGTCACATTGATAAATAATGTGATACTTCTTTTTGCATCTTTAAGGATGATGCCTTTTAGTGTTGAGGATTTTATGACTGTTTTTATATATGTGTATATTTTATACATAAAAATATATGAAATATACATGATTTTTCATGTACCTTTTGCAAGCTTGGGATTTTATTTCTCGATTGTCTTGGCATATTTCCTTCAAGACCCACTTCTTATTCATAAGGTTAATCACTAAAACATACAATCCTTTCCTTTATTTTAAAACAGACAAGGGCCAAAGCCAAAATACTTGTTAATGAAAATGGAGTGTGTTTTGGAGGGAGGGGGATTTTGCTGCAGTTTGTGCTTGAGTCTGTTGTATTTCTTTGCAGACATTTCAAATCTCTTCCTGTTTCTCATGATGATGGCTTTATATCCCTTTAAGAAATAAAATGTGAGCTATAGGTAAAATAAATAAATAATCGTTAATATTTTTATAAATATTGAGTCTTGTGTTTATGGAATAAATAGATTATATTCTCATGCATCTTGTGAACATGCAATGATTTGTATTTTGTGGGTTTTGTTATGTGGTAGAGACATTAAAATACTGCAGCAAATATCTATTTTTAAAGTTACTTTTTACGCAGTTCATAGATGTGCCAGAAAATTATTTTAGCATTTTAATTATAAATCTAATTTATATTAGATTTTTAACATTTTAATGTTAAAGTTTTGCTGTTATTGTAGTGCCAGAAGTCTACTGTTGGGACTGATTATACTTTTTGACTTTGTTTTGTTTTGTTTTGTTTAAATATTGATTTGTTTTAGATCTGGGTTACAGATGCAGAATCACTAATTTGTGTGTATTGCTAATATTAACTATTAAAATGGTTTTTGACAGTTTGACACTTGAAGGCATTTCCTCTGAAGTGATGCTAACGTGTGTTTAACCATGCAGATCCTCAGTTTGTGGTCTGCCAGCTAAAGGTGAAGATCTATTCCTCCAATTCAGGACCCACACGACGGGAAGACAAGTTCATGTACTTTGAGTTCCCTCAGCCTTTGCCTGTGTGTGGTGACATCAAAGTAGAGTTCTTCCACAAACAGAACAAGATGCTAAAAAAGGTTTGCACTTACCTTTTATTGGGAAGAATATCCAAAATCGCCATACTTTGAACAGTAACCTCAGATCTTTTGCTTAAAATATTTGGTTAGGCAGAAATCATTCTTAAGGAGAGCTTACAGGATAATATTTTGTGACTGACAGTCTAATGAATTATAATTGGTTGTCTGTTAGATCTGCACATGCTTTGCTTACTGTAACACTGATGAGCCATTATAATGGTAAAAAATCTTGTTAGAGGAAAAGTCCTTATGTCATTATAATTTGAGATGAATTTTCTTTAAGTTGGGTTATGCAGAGAAATTTCATAAAAATATTAAAGATTACATACCCCATTAAATCAGTTACCGTCCTTTTAGACAGGATGATCAATTACCGAGAAAAAGTTAGCAAGGGGCCATGAGTTTGTAAAAAAATTCATTTATATGTATAAATAAGATCTGTTCCATGGTCTTGTGTAATGACACAAACCACTTTTCCCCTATTTTGGTTTATGTTTCCTGAGAGTACATCATTTTATATTTAGCTTTCTCAAATTTATTGAATTATTGCGAATTTTAGTTAGGAGAGTGATAAAGTATGCAAAAGAAGTAATAAAACATGTATTAAAAATGTACTAAATATGCAGCTTTAGAAAGTTAGTGAGGTTTGCATATTACTGAGCCACAGAGAATTCAAGAGCTCATTCTTAAACTATCTTGGTCTAAAATACTAAGTGTGAATATTTAAGGTGAGTGCGCCTAAGGTGCAAAATTTGGGGTTAGTAATGAACAAAAATACTAGCTTTGTATGTTGTTACTGCCTCATTAAACATATTGCTAATCTTTAGACATTCTCAGTAATGGGACTGATTTAGTTTTCCTGATATTTAGCTTTAAAAAAAAAATAAGAGGAAGTTTCATTTATTACAAAAATTTTAAACTCTACCTTGACTTATCTGAAGAAATACAATTTCCTATATCCAGAATCCACATAGCTGGGAAATTACAGCATGTTAAACAGGTTTTTTCACCAGAAACCCATTTCCTACCTATTCTATATAAATGATAGTTAAATATATCTCGATAACTTTGGAAAGTAATTTTTAAATAGTCCAGGGAGCGTTAGCCGGTGTTTAAGTATTTTTTCCCTTCTATTCATTATATGACTGGTACATGTAAAAGTTTATTTATTTTTTAAAAAGCATTTATTTATTTATTTAATGTGGGGCTTGAATCCATGACCCTGAGATCAAGAGTCATACGCTCTACCAGCAGAGCCAGCCAGGTGCCCCTAAAATTTTATATTTTACTTTTAAAAGTAGGCACCTGCATCACTGTCTCCCTATACCTTTAGGAGTGCATAAGTTCTTATTTTCAGTTATCATCTGTACATTACTTTAATACATACAAAACTGAAGATTAGATTAATATTTGTAATATATCTGTATCTGGGATTACCTTACATATATTTCCATTTTATGTGATTTTCCCTGCCTGTTATAAATGTTGCTGTGATTTAAACAAAAACAGGTTTAACATAATCAGTACCGATACAGAATCCACATTTTTGGAGATTTAAATAGTACTAGCTTATGTTCTTCTGACTCTAAGTAAGCAAAAAATAACTTTGCTAATAAAATAATTAAAATTAACAAATATGTCTTTTTAAAGTCTTATATGTGAGATTGCTAGGTACTGTTAAAAGATAAAAAGACAGTTAAACGTAAGATACTTAAGGGTCTTCCCATCTTCCTGGGAAAATAGCAAAACTCGAAGGTAAATTAAAATAAAAAAGTTAATGGCAATTTAAGGCACCAAATAAGATGTCACAAAGCTGCACATCATTAACTGTCACGTGATCCATGTAGGCCAAATTCCAGTCATTAAGAGAAGAGAGAGAGAGAGAACATTTTCTTGTGTTGGTCAAGAAAGATTTGAAGTGATGAACTTCTGATGTGTTTTTTTGATTAAGAGGACCTCGTATTATTTGTAAGGAGTAATTTTTTTAAAATAGGCATTTTTAACATAAAAAAGTCAGAATTGCTTGTCTTCCTTCCCCCATATTCTGAACATTTTCAGACACACATATTGTTGTGTAGGAAACTGGAGCCACTTAGAGTTTGTATTGCTTCTGAAGTAGAAATGGATCTGCCTTGCTTCATCGGGAAGTTGTGCTGACATTTCAAGAACTTTTGTTAAAGTAGATTTTGTAATGGATAGCTTTTTTTAAAGATTTTATTTATCTGAGAGAGAGAGAAGGATTCCGGGTAGGGGTTGCAGAGGGAGAAGCAGACTCCTCGCTGAGCAGGGAGCCTGATGTGGGGCTCGATCCCAGGACCCTGAGATCATGCCCTGAGCCGAAGGCAGACGCTTAACCGACTGAGCCACCCAGGCGCCCCTGAAATGGATAACTCGTTGAAATAGAACATTAAACCCATTTTCATACACACATACATACAAACTCAAACATTTTTTTAAAGCTTATATTAGACAAGAAAGGAAAAATTTTAGCTAAGGTTTTAAAACAAAAGTAAGTTATCTTAGAACTTGTGGGATTACATTTTTCGTCTAAAATTTGAACAAAAGAATAAATGTATGTGACTTAGATGCAACAGGTAACCCACAGCTGCCAAATATAAGTCTGTTTGTTTATCTTTATTCAAACATGTGGCTTATTTTATTGACTTCTTGGGGCAAATGTTGAATATAGGTGATATATTTTCTTATTTAAAAAAATTTTTAAATTTGTCTTTTTTTTTTTAAGGACAAAATGTTTCACTTTTGGGTAAACACATTCTTCATACCAGGACCAGAGGAAACCTCAGAAAAAGTAGAAAATGGAAGTCTATGTGATCAAGAAATTGATAGTATTTGCAGTATAGAGCGTGCAGATAATGACAAGGAATATCTAGTACTCACTTTAACAAAAAATGATCTCGACAAAGCAAATAAAGACAAGGCCAACCGATACTTTTCTCCAAATTTTAAGGTCAGTTAAAAACATTTTGAGGAATTAGTGGGTGGCTCTGTGTGTGTGTGTGTGTGTGTGTTTTAAATGTATAGCTGGTGAAGGACTTGTGTGACTAAGTTTTAAATTAAATTAGGTATTATTTAGAAGCAATATTTAGGTATCAGTAATGAGGGTTTCTAACATGAATGCACACAGAGTCAAAAAAGGCTGCTTTTCTCCCCCGCCCCCCCGCCCCTTCTTTGTTGTTGTTTGGTGAAATCTGGGGCAGGGGTTGGGAAGGGGAGTTCAGTTTATGGGATGTGAAGTAGGAATGGGGGAAGAAAGAAGTAAAAGGGAACTCAATTATTTGGGAATGATTCATATAGAATGTTCTTAACTGTTCCTACTTTTGTCCCCTTCCAATTTATTCTGAGCTCCTCAGAGTGATCTTAAAATAAACGTGATTGTGTCACTCTTGTCTATACTTTTTAAAGACCTTGTGGTTTTTTTATATGACCTACACGGACCTACATAATTCAGCACAGGCTTACCTCCTGCATGAGCTCTAGCCACATTCTCCTCCTGCTCCGAGATTCATTTTTCAGTTCTTCCAAATGCTAAGCTCCTTCTGCCTCCAGTCTTTCCAGTTCTTTTTCTCTCCCTGTACCTCTCCACCTTCCGCCTTTCCCTTGCCTTTCCCTCATTTGGCTACCCTTTCGTGTTGTAGCCTTCACTTCAGTCTTGGTGCTCTGAAGCCCTTCTCCGATCATTCTCTTGTGTTACTCCCTTTCTAAAGCCCTGTCTGCTTCCTCATATTATGGAGTTATTTGGGTCGTTACTTTTATCTATATGTGATGTGTGTACCTGTTTCTATTCCTGTGCATTTATAAGAAATTTCCAGGAAAAAAAAAATCTGATTTGTCAATATTTCCAAATGGTAGTTTGCCCTTTTTTCCTTCCCCTTTCCGGTTTCTCCTTCTACCTGATTTCCCCTCGTCCTTTCACCATACCTGCCTTTCTCTTTTCAAAAATTCTCTCTTACTTGTTTTGCCTCATTCCATCTTTATAATATGCAGCAGGCCTACCCATAGCGGATAAGAATATTGTGAGTAATCCTAAAAATAAGGGGGAGGCTACATATTTTAAGTGAAAATAAATCCAATATTAAGTGCCATTAGATCTTACATTTCTTTTAAGTGGTTAGAAGTGTCTTTTAGAATCCACGGGTTTCCACTGACTGTGTTTTACCTAAGTCTGCATTTTCCTTAATTGTTAGCTTTTATAGTGTGACTTCTAGTTTTATTGTTTTTTTGTTTTAATATTACAAGAATATGTATTTGTGATTACAAATAAAAACTATTTCAGTTATCAGTAAACAAAGACCGTGGTAAGTGCTTATGAACAAATGAAGCAGAGGTGGGATAGAGAACGATCTTGGTGTGTGTTTTAGCTGGATAGTTAAGAGAAGGCCTCTCTAGCAGGTGACGTTTAATCAGAGGCCTAAATGAAATGAGTGAGCTGTACAAATATCCGGGACAGGAGGGAAGGACAGATACAAAAGCCCTGAGTCAGGAATGATTCTACCATGTTTGAGGAGCAGTAGATAAGCAATCGTTTTGACTAGATCACATCAGTCTGAGTGTGAAGACATTGGTATGTTTTTAGCACGGAAAGATGTCATCTGAATTTTGTCTTTAAAATGTAGTCTGGAGAGGAGGTAAGAATGGAACTGGGAGGTGAGGTGAGAAGCTGCTGCTGGGGTTTAATGCAGATGAGAGGTGGTGGCTGCTTGGACTAGTGTGGCGGCAGTGGGCACAGTGAGAAGCTGTCAGAGGAGGTAGAGAGGGCATCGTGCAGGTGGACCCAAAGGGATCTGCTGATGGAGGAGGAGGATAACGGGGAGGGGCTGTAGATAGAACAGAAGGAGAATCTGATTGAAGCCTCATATCTACTGCCGGCTGCCCTTCTGGGCCTTAGTTTCCTCTGCTTGGAGATGGAAATACCTGCCTCACTGAGCTGTTCGCAGTTCTCTCAGCGCTGCCTGTAATGGAAACCACTGTCTGATGTTCTTAAACTTTAGGGCTAACGGGATCCTGAACATCACTGTTGGTCAGTGTTTTTATAATGTAATACTTTGTTTTTGTTTAGTAGTATTTGTATCAGAAGATACACTGAGGCTCAGACAGGTCGTAAGTGCAGTATTCTTTTGGAACTCAGCTATTTGTACGTGGAATTTTGTGATTGAAAATATATTTTGTAAACGGTCAATGAACTTCAGTCTTAGGGCATTTCTTTTGCAGAATTATTTAGTTAATGCTTGCAGCTTATGCTTACTAAAGTCTAGCATATTAACATCCCAGTGTATCTTTTCAGTGTGTAACAAGAAAACCTAGGAAATCCGAAGAAGGGGGTCATCTAAAAGATAGCTGCCTTTTCAAGATCCTATTTGTCATCGCATTTTTTAAAAACGAATCTGCTAAAAATACGTATATTTACTAAGTCATTTAAGATTAGTCGGCTTTCTGGATTTCCCCTTTAAACCGCCTCCTTCTTCTCCAGGTGAAGCTGTACTTCACGAAGACGGTAGAGGAGCCATCAAATCCCGAGGCTAGCAGTTCAGCCTCTGTGACGCCGGACGCTAGCGACAACGAACCTGATCATTACAGGTACTCGGACACCACTGACTCTGATCCAGAGAATGAGCCTTTTGATGAAGATCAGCATACACAAATTACAAAAGTCTGAATTTTTTTTTTAATCAAGAGGGATAAAACAACATGACAACAAACTTGAATAAACTGAAATTGGACCTTTTTTTTTTTTTAATGGCAATAGGACATTGTGTCAGATTACCAGTTATAGGAACAATTCTCTTTTCCTGACCAATCTTGTTTTACCCTATACATCCACAGGGTTGTGACACTTGTTGTCCAGTTGAAAAAAGGTTGTGTAGCTGTGTCATGTATATACCTTTTTGTGTCAAAAGGACATTTAAAACTCAATTAGGATAAATAAAGATGGCACTTTCCCATTTTATTCCAGTTTTATAAAAAGTGGAGACAGACTGATGTGTATACGTAGGAATTTCTCATTTTGTGTTCTGTCACCAACTGAAGTGGCTAAAGAGTTTTGTGATGCACAGGTTCACATCCTACCCCTTTGCACTTGTGGCAACAGATAAGTTTGCAGTTGGCTAAGAGGAGTTTCTCAAGGGTTTTGCTACATTCTAATGCATGTATTCGGGTTAGGGGAATGGGGGGAGTGCTCAGAAAGGGATATCTGTCATGCTGGACTCTGGACCATATACCATCTCCAGCTACTTCACGCACCTTTCTTTAGCATGCTACAGTTGTTAATCTGGACATTTGAGGAATTGGCCGCTGTCACTGCTTGTTGTTTTGTGCATTTTATTATTTTTTTTAAAGCATATTGGTGCTAGAAAAGGCAGCTAGAGGGAGTGAATCTGTATTGGGGTGCAGGAATGAACCTTCCACAACTTCTTAAGAATCCACAAATGAAGGGATATAAAAATAATGTGGTCATAGATAAGAAACACAGCAACAATGACTTAACCATATAAATGTGGAGGCTATCAACAAAGAATGGGCTTGAAACATTATGAAAATCGACAATGATCTATCAAATACATTTTCTCAGTTGTAACGAGTGCTCCATCTCCCGTGTAATCAAGGCCAGTGCGAAAAGTCAGATGCTGTTCGTACCGACATCAGTCAACCACGTACACTTACTTTATTAGTTTTCAATCATACACCTGCTGTGGATGCTTCATGTGCTGCCTGCAAGCTTTTTTTCCTCATTGAGTATAAAACATTTTGTAATGCTGCACAGGAAATTTCAATTTGAGATTCTACAGTAAGCGTTTTTTTTCCTTCAAAGATTTATGATGCACTTATTCAATCCAATAGCTGTCAGCCGTTCCGCCCTTTTGACCTTACACATTCTGTTACAATGAGTTTTGCAGTTTTGCACATTTTTTAAATGTCATTAACTGTTAGGGAATTTTACTTGAATACTGAATACATATAATGTTTATATTTAAAAGGACATTATTTGTGTTAAAAAGGAAATTAGAGTTGCAGTAAATTTTCAACACTGCACAAATAATGAGGCATTTACTTTTTCAGTAGAAATTGTCCCACATAACGCTTTTATCGATTTTTATTGAAAGAATAGATTTTTTTTTTTAACGTGCAGTGTTGAATCATTTCTTCATAGTGCTAGACTTAGGACTAGGGCTTCAATTTCACTTCTTAAATATCGTATATTTGATATGCCCAGACTGCATATGATTCTAAGCAGAATACAACTACTATTGTAAAGCTAATGTGAAGATACTATTTAAAAAGAAGTTTTTTCCCCCAGAAATTTGGTGTCTTTCAAATTATACATTGACCTTGAAACATTTGAATATCCAGCCAATTTACTCCTTAATGGTATAAAATCTCATTTTCAATAACTTATTGGTGCTGAAATTGTTCACTAGCTGTGGTCTGACCAGTTAATTTACAAATACAGATTGCATAGGACCTACTAGAGCAGCATTTATAGAGTTTGATGGTTAAATAGATTAGGCAGAACTTCATCTAAAATATTCTTAGTAAATAATGTTCACATGTTTTCCATACCTCATCAGTTTCATTCAACAAATAAAGTTTTTAAATTTTTAACAAAGCTCTTAGGATTTACACATTTGTATTTAAACATTGATATGTAGAGAATTGATTGACTGCTCATAAGTTAAATTGGTAAAGTTAGAGACAACTATTCCTAAGATCTCAGCATTGAAATTTATATGCCACCTTATCTTTCATAAAAGCTGAAAATTATTGACTAAAATGAAAATCAACTATTCGTGTTTTGATGATAGTTATTAATACTGTTAATTTGTTACAGTTTTGGGCACGGTATATTAAAACATAATTTGTGTTGTTCCAATATGTAACATGGAGGGCCAGGTCATAAATAATGACATTATAATGGGCTTTTGCACTGTTATTATTTTTCCTTTGGAATGTGAAGGTCTGAATGAGGGTTTTGATTTTGAATGTTTCAATGTTTTTGAGAAGCCTTGCTTACATTTTATGGTGTAGTCATTGGAAATGGAAAAATGGCATTATATATATATATTATATATATATAAATATATATTATACATACTACTCTCCTTTATTTCAGTTACCATCCCCATAGAATTTGACAAGAATTGCTATGACTGAAAGGTTTTTGAGTCCTAATTAAAACTTTATTTATGACAGTATTCATAATTAGCCTGAAATGCATTCTGTAGGTAATCTCTTTGAGTTTCTGGAATGTTTTCTTACTTAGACTTTTTGGATGTGCAGCCGCTTACATGTCTGAAGTTACTTGAAGGCATCACTTTTAAGAAAGCTTACAGTTGGGCCCTGTGCCATCCCAAGTCCTCTGTAGCTCCTTGCAAACATTTTTTTTTTTTGCCATAATTATTACAGGGCAGTTGAATACATAGCATCCCCGTTCTTTGCTGTGGCACAGGTTATAAACTTAAGTGGAGTTTACCGGCAGCATCAAATGTTTCAGCTTTAAAAAAATAAAGAGTAGGGTACAAGTTACATGTTTAGTTCTAGAAAATGTGTGCAATATGTTCATAACGATGGCTGTGGTCGCCACAAAGTGCCTCGTGTACCTTTACATACTGTTGACGTGTCATGCATGCAGACGGAGGGGGTGGGACTGTGCTCGGGAGTGGGGGCTCTCGCCGCCGCGTCTGGCGGAGCGGCCTTCCTCCCTGCCGGTTCGCAAGTTCAGTCTGTTTCCATAGAGAATCTATATACTCAACATTTCAGTCTGTTAAACAGCCTTACTCTGATTCAGCCTCTTCAGATGCTCTTGTGCTGTGCAGCAGTGGCTCTGTGTGTAAATGCTATGCACTGAGGATGCACAAAACACGATGTGTGCGGGATAATGCCTCATACCAATCAGATGTCCGTTTGTTATTGTGTTTGTTAACAGCCCTTTATCTCTTAGTGTTATAAACTCCACTTAAAACTGATTAAAGTCTCATTCTTGTCATTGTGTGGGTGTTTTATTAAATGAGAGTATTTATCATTTGAATCGTTTAAATTTATTGACATTTGCAATAATGGGCAGCCAGATGTGATTCTCTGTAGCTCCCCCCCCCCCCCCCCCGTGTCCTTCAAAGCCTGCAGTTACAAAAACATGGGCCTTTGTCAGCTTGGGAGTAGAGTGTCTGTCTACTCATGTTTAAGAGAGGCGCTTTTTTTTTTTTTAAGGGCCTTAACACTTAATAGTTTCTAGCACATTAAATAACACTTGAATCCTGAAAAAGTTCAAGATTCTTGAAAAACTGTCTCCCCCCCCCCCACTAAGCCAGATGTGTGAAAGATCATTCCCCAGCGTGGATTTGGTACTTCAGATTTCAACTTGGTGACTTTTCCATTCTTTATGATTCCGTAGACTGCCATCGTATGGGAAGCCTCATCTACTCATTGTGACTTGTGCCATTTAAAAATTGATAGTCCCGAGTAGTCTCAAAGACTCTGTGTACTTGAGTTAATCCCGTGTCTTCTAATATTCGTAAAAGCTTAAAGACTAAGGCATATCATCCTTTCAACAGAGCATAGTAAGATCTAGTGAGTGACAGTGCAGCTTGTACAGATGTTTGGAGAGTTTGGAGAATAAAGCAGATCACGTATGTAACAGTGAGATTTAATGTCATTTCAGGTTTACATTTCGTCATGTGACTTTTTAAAAAAACAGTAAATGTGAATAATGTATAATCATCTAAAGAAGTCTTCAAAGTGTGTGGGTATGCATGCGCTTCTATTTTGTATTGTGAGGTATACCATCCTGGAGTTTTAAGTCACTGTATTTCATAGGAGGGTCTTGGCGATGTCTGAAACATAGGACTTTAGTGGCAGCTTTATTGTTCTTGCGTGTTTTCAGCACTGTCTTTTGAGCTAGTGTCCTCCAGTGAATGCCACCACCGTTTTCACTGAGAAGTAAAAATCACCCGTGTTTAACCTGCAGGCTTCCAGAGGCAGACAAAACATCAAACCCTTAAATCTCAGGAATTTGCTGCTAACGTCCAACTCTTTTTGTTCTTTTATTCCTGCCAGATAACTAGCCACACATCTGAATGACTAAAGTATAAGTTTTGATTGGCAGTGCTTTTAACTAGCACAGAGAGAAATGTGTCTGGATGGAGACAGAAATCATCAGTCCAAACTGGACAGTATTTTAAAACTTTTAAAGGTGAAATGTTAGAGACTGATTTTTCTATAGAATTGTATAGCCATAGGAAGCCTAATGATTAAGTTGCTTATCAGGTTTTTTGTTTTTAGTTTTGGAGCAAGTCTATAATCATGATCTTGCTATTTTTTCCATCCTTCAAGGGAGCTTCCTTCTTACAAGTGTATCAGAATGTAGGCAGCCACTCTTGGCAAATTCATATTGGTTGGTGGCTTTAAAAGTAGGTAATGTGAAGACAGGAAAGGACAAATTTCGTTGGTGGTAATACCCTTTGGTTCTTGAGTTAACTCTTTTGAGAATTCTTTCCTGTAACAACAATAATAAAATACTCATATCCACCACGTGGAGACATGGCCATTGTGGATACTTTCTGTGACCATGCAGTCATTTTTCCTGTATATTCATGTATATATTTTCTTTAAGGAATGAAATTTATACTATGCATACTCTCAGAGCCCTTAAGCTTAATATGGGCGACATGGATTTGTAGAGTGTTGAGTCACATCAGGCAATGAACAGTGACTTGATTCTTTCTCGTGCTACAGGTGCAGATCATGTGCAGTTATTGAGAACCTCTCCAAGTCTGTGGGTTCCCTATGATGTGTAGATATTGTTAGCATCAGGATGATAAGTGTCTAAGCAAATAAGATCGTTAACGTTTATTTCGCATAGACAAGCTTAACATTGTAGATCTGTCTCCTCAAAAACCATTTTAAATGTGCATTTTGGAATTGTGTGTTAAGTGGTTAAACAGAACCTGTGAGACACCATGCAATAGTTCATTTCACTATGGCCTGTCCATGTCCTCGGAGGTTGGAAAAGGATGAGCTTCTCAGTTTTTATAGTTCCCAAACAGGTGTTCAATTTGGACTGAATTGGTTTGACACCTGCAAAAAAGGGAAAAGCTGGTTGTTATATCAGTTAATTGTCTTGAAATCTCCGTGCTCGTGTGACTTCCAGCATCTCAAAGAGACAGTATTTCATGAGTAGTTCACCTTCAGCTCTGGAACCATGTTTAATATAACGGGGGGGGGGGGGGACCTTATAACAAAACATGCAACTCTTCTTTGATAGTTATTTGAGGATTTGGGTGAAAAAAATTCAGCGGCAGGGCAACACGTAACTTAGAAATGTATTGATTGATATTTCAGGAACATTTTTACATATATGATGAAGTCCACTGCCATCTTTTGAGCATTAACCAGGGTTTAAAATGAAACTGCATATTTTTAAATGAAGTGTTCAATAAGGATTTATATTTTTCATTTTTTAATTAAAAATAATTTATATCTCTTGTTGCATGTGGTTTCTTATGTTCTTGAAGTGGTTAGAGGTTTTGTTTGGAATGGAGCAAGGCTCAAGTGTTGCAGGTTGTCCACTGTTTACCACAATGAAATTCTGAAAATGTTCAGGTGTGGTTTCCTATAACCTGTCATTTACTGGCGTTGACGTGCACCTTTAGGGTTTTCTGCCCACTCTAGCCAGTTGTCCAAATGATATCCCATGTTTACAAATGCCTTCCTGTTTTTACTTTCCTCTCTCATTAAATTGCCCTATTGGGCAGTTTATAAATGTGTGTTGGATGGGTGGGTGGATGAATTAAATTTTTGAGTGCTAGACTCCAACTTCAGAGATTAAATAGTTTGATTCAGGCAAACACTTCTTCCTGGAATTTCACAGTTCATTGTACTGAAACTAATGTCAACCTTGGATGACCTTTGACATACAGGAATGACTCTTGGATATTAATGAATTTGTTAGTAACATCTGGATGTGTGCATTAATGAGTTATTTTCAAACTTGTGCATTTAACCAAAGTTGGTGTATTGGAAATGTTTATGTCAAGTTTCATTTGGCTACTGATGGACATAAAAACAGACACGCTTTCCTATGGAGAGTATTTTTTCTTTAAAAAATTAAAGAGTTAATTATTTTGAGTATTTGGTTTTAAATTTTTTATTCAACAAGTACTTATCAAGTCCCTGCTATGTGTTAACAGATGTTTGGAATATATTAGTGATCAAAACAGACATACCTTCTATTGCCCTTGAGGAGAGGAAGTAGATTTTACTAAACTGTGACAGGTGCTGTGAAATATGAGTTGCATGTGATCCAGTAATGATCCCCAAACACTGCATACACTGCCCTAGACTTCCTTCCCCTTGAGGTTAGATGGGCCATTGTAACTAGTTAAGTCCAGTGAACCAGCAGTGAAAGGGATGTGACACTCCCGAGGAAAGGCATTAAAAAATTAAATCCCTTGTAGAATCCTTTGGTCTTCCTTCCCTCTTCCCTGGCAGTGACCAGGACTGGATATGTTTCAGGTGGTGCAGTACTGTCAGCCTGGGTCTTGAGTGACTTTATGGGGCAAAACTTCCTCAGATTGAACACAGTAGATGTTAGCATGCGCAAGAAACAAATACTAAATTAGACCAAGATTCTGGGACAATTCGTTACCATTGCATAATAAATTACATTCTGACTGATGGCTTGGAAGGGTCAGAGAAGGAAGCAGGGAAGAGGGGATTAAAAATGGAGCAAAACAAAAAGTGACATCTTAAAACCCAACAATGTGATGCAATCAAGAAACTAAATTGCAAGTCCATTGTTATTGATCACCTGTAGGCACTGTTCTAGATCCTTGAGATAGAAATGGGTGAACAGCAGATCCCAGCTCTCATGGGGCTCGTGTTCTAGGAAGGATACCAGATGATAAACACCAGATGATAAACAGCATCTGTAAGGTAAGAAGGACTCCGGTGGTGGATTGTGGAAGAGAGTCCGGTAGGTTGGGTGTGGAGAGGTGAGTCGCAGTGCTGAAGGGGGTAGTCTGGAATCATCCTCACTGGGAAGGTGAGAACTGAGTAGACCCCTTGAATCAATGGCATTAGAATGTTCTTTCAACCTGTCGGACAGCAAGAGGCACTCATTATTCTTTGTAAAATTTCATTCTCACCTTTTACAACTGTCTGTATTTGGTTCCTGAGTTTTTAAGATTTTTACTGGTGTATCTAGGGATAATCTTGAGAATGCCACCCAAAGTAGTCATTGTGTCCTAAATCATTTTGTTCTCTAGATTGGTTTTGGCAAAATCTATATAAATAGTATGTTCTTCTTCATTCCCAGAGTTGAATTCATTTTAAAATTTTTCTTAATGTGTGTGTGTTGAAAATACTTGATATAGCTTTTCAGTAGAAGTTCAAGTTCTGTTATGGCCTTAAATATTTCTGTAAAGCTGAAAGGAAATGTCATTTGTGATTTATCCATGGGAAACACGTTATAAATTTTGAGCTACTCGAGAAACAAAAGGGGTGAAATTTATGGCCTAGTGCTGTATACTTTAATTCTTAACTCCTATGAGCAAAAACTTCTTGAAAAGCACCAATATCTAAATAATAAAAGAAAACTTTTTCACAAAGGGGGAACCCCGCCCCTTCTCCTACCATATTTCAAGATCCAAGAAATTTAACTTTGTGGTAAAGGGCAAATAGTATAATTGATTTAATTTGATACGATAGAAATTTGCAAATGTTTATTTATTGTGGCATTATTATCTGGTATTTGCTATTGGTCACTTTCTTCCTCCCATCAGGAGGAAATTTTGAAAGAAAATATCAACTAATAGCTTTTGCTAATAATTTTAATTTTAAATTTTAATTTTAAAGTACAATTCCAAGTGATTTTAAAGACACTTTGGCAAATTTGCATTTTGTTTTTATTCTGAGTCTGATGAGATTTTTTTTTTTTTTTTTACATTTTATTTTGCTTTAGAAAAAATTAAGGTAGTGGAATAGGTTTCC